AGCCGTCTTGGTCCCATGACCAGTGCAGAAACTGGACTGGAATGGATCCAGAGCCAATGTTTCATCCAGAAACCTACCAAGCTGTTCAGCAACCGCTCTCTCAATCACCTTACCCAGGAATGGAAGATTCGAAACCGGGCGGTAATTGGATAGATCTAAGGGATCTAATGATGTTTTCTTTAAGAGCGGGCGCACCACTGCCTCCTCCAGTTCCCCTGGGAATATCCCAGTGCCAAGGGACAAATTGATGATATCCCCCAGGGGGGCCCGCACTTCGTCTGCATTCTCTAATCAGCCAAGACGGGCACGGGTCGAGAGGACAGGTGGTGGGCTTTCCAGCTCGGAGGAGTCTGTCCACATCGGCTGGGGATATCCGGTCAAAGTGGTCCAATACTGGACCCAAGGACAGTCGAGGGGCCTCCAGTTCCTTTATTGTATCCAAATTGACAGGGAGGTCATGGCGGAGCAACAGGACCTTCTCCACAAAAAAGCTCGCAAATGCCTCACAGCTGTGTGTCAAATTGTTATTTAAATTTAGCTGTCCTTCAAGGGACGTTAAAGACCTAATTATACTAAATAATTGCGCCGGGTGAGAGCTAGCGGATGCAATGGAGGCCGAGAATCATAGAATCATAGAGTTGGAAGAGACCACAAGGGCCATCGAGTCCAACCCCCTGCCAAGCAGGAAACACCATCAGAGCACTCCTGACATATGGTTGTCAAGCCTCTGCTTAAAGACCTCCAAAGAAGGAGACTCCACCACACTCCTTGGCAGCAAATTCCACTGTCGAACAGCTCTTACTGTCAGGAAGTTCTTCCTAATGTTTAGGTGGAATCTTCTTTCTTGTAGTTTGGATCCATTGCTCCGTGTCTGCTTCTCTGGAGCAGCAGAAAACAACCTTTCTCCCTCCTCTATGTGACAGCCTTTTATATATTTGAACATGGCTATCATATCACCCCTTAACCTCCTCTTTCTCCAGGCTAAACATGCCCAGCTCCCTTAGCCGTTCCTCATAAGGCATCGTTTCCAGGCCTTTGACCATTTTGGTTGCCCTCCTCTGGACACGTTCCAGTTTGTCAGCGTCCTTCTTGAACTGTGGTGCCCAGAACTGGACACAGTACTCCAGGTGAGGTCTGACCAGAGCAGAATACAGTGGCACTATTACTTCCCTTGATCTAGATGCTATACTCCTATTGATGCAGCCCAGAATTGCATTGGCTTTTTTAGCTGCCGCTTCACACTGTTGGCTCATGTCAAGTTTGTGGTCAACCAAGACTCCTAGATCCTTTTCACATGTACTGCTCTCAAGCCAGGTGTCCCCCATCTTGTATTTGTGCCTCTCATTTTTTTGCCCAAGTGCAATACTTTACATTTCTCCCTGTTCAAATTCATCTTGTTTGTTTTGGCCCAGTTCTCTAATCTGTCAAGGTCGTTTTGAAGTGTGATCCTGTCCTCTGGGGTGTTAGCCACCCCTCCCAGTTTGGTGTCATCTGCAAATTTGATCAGGATGCCCTTGAGTCCATCATCCAAGTCATTAATAAAGATGTTGAATAAGACCAGGCCCAAGACAGAACCCTGTGGCACCCCACTAGTCACTCTTCTCCAGGATGAAGAGGAACCATTGATGAGCACCCTTTGGGTTCGGTCAGTCAGCCAGTTACAAATCCACTGAGTGGTAGCATAGTCAAGACCGCATTTTACCAGCTTCTTTACAAGAATATCATGGGGCACCTTGTCAAATGCCTTGCTGAAATCAAGGTAGGCTACATCCACTGTGTTCCCTTCATCTACCAGGCTTGTCATTCTGTCAAAAAATGAGATCAGGTTAGTCTGACATGACTTATTTTTTAGAAATCCATGCTGACTATTGGTGATCACTTCTTAGCGGCCTTCACTTAGACTTCTTAGCAGCTTTCACTGCCATCTCATAGGTTTTCATAAAAACCCTATAAGATGTTTTTGAGGCTCCGTCACGGGCACCCCGCCATACTCGCTCTAGCCGTCTGAGGTCCCGCTTCATTTTCCAAAGCTCCTCAGTAAACCAGGGAGCCCAGTTTCTGCGGGGTCGCAGAGGGCGCTTAGGTGCGATCTCATTGATGGCTGCCAGGAGCTGCATATTCCAGCCCTCAACAAGCTCAGTCAATGAGTCGCCAGGGGGAGCAAGGTCCCGCAAGGCTTGACGGAATCTATCAGAGTCCATCAGCCTCTGCGGGCGAGCCCAAATTGGCTCGCCACCTAAGCAGGGTGGGGGTGGAAAGTCAATCCTGGCTTTCAGAGCGTAGTGATCAGACCATGGCACCTTCATCGAAGGAGACATGATCACATCTATACCGACGCCAAAGATCAAATCCAGCGTGTGGCCTGCTTGATGTGTGGGGCCCGAAACAAACTTGGGAGAGCCCTAGTGTCGCCATGGAAGACACCAGGTCCAGAGCCTGTGCAGAGAAAGTGGCATCAGCATGGATGTTGAAGTCCCCCAATACCAATAGGTTAGGGAACTCCAAGGCCCAGCCGGCCACCGCCTCCAGCAGGCCTGACAGCGTGGCTGCTGGTGCGCTAGGTGGCCGGTACACCAGCCAGACAGCCAAGCTCTCCTCGGAGCCCCACACTAGGCCAACACATTCAATGCCGGGGATTGATGGCGATGGTAGAGCCCTGAAAGAACAATCTTCCTGGATTAATAATGCCACCTCTCCCCCCCCCCGGCCCACAGTCCGTGACTGGTGGAGGACGGAGAAACCCGAGGGCGCCATCTCTCGTAAGGTAACAGTTTCCCCTTCGCACACCCAGGTCTCTGTCACACAAGCCAGGTCGACCCCTGCGAGGTAAAGAAATCTCCCAGGGTGGCGGTTTTGTTGCCTATAGACCTGGCCTTGCACAACACCAGTGATGGAGGTGAGTAATCCTTGCTCACCCTACCCTCGTCCCTCGGGATGGGGCGCAGATTGGAAGGGATACGAGCATATCCGTATCTCGATCCCCTTCGCCTATAACATCTGCCCCCACCACCATACCTCCCTCGCCCCTCCACGGTAGCAATCCCAAGCCTCATGCTAGCCTCCATTTACAAAATAGAAAAACAAAACAAACCAAAAACAATTATACCAAAACAAAACCAATCCCCACCCCACTCAATATCCAACCCCACCAAAATAAAACGGAACAAAATAAAAATACGTAAATAAAAACCACTGTTCACGGTGGTACAACAAAGTAAAAAGTAAAAACACCTTTAAAACACTTTAAAATATATAAAAACATTTTTAACATTTGCTGCAGCAGCACCAGTGTCCTTAAAACTGTGGCGTTGGTGAGTATGGGCCCCGCCCCCTAGGCCTGGTGGAATTAGCCTGAGGAGGGAGCGGCCTTCCCCAACACTCACGGTGCAGCAGAAGTATTCAAAGACATTCTGGTTGTCCAAGGGAGAGAAGAGATGGCTGTCCCAGCCAGACCTATTAGGGCTTTTCAGAAGCAGAGTGCCTCCTATAATCACAGGTGGTCCTGGAGAACCTCTTTCAAGGGAGGCTAGTGAGCTGGTGGAGATTCCAGGGGGTGCAGTTCTGGTGAATGGAGGTGCAATTCATTCTTCCGCTGCCTTGGGAAATGCACAAGACCTCAGTCTCCAGCCTTCTGGGCTTCAACTGAAGTAGAGTTTGCAGAGCAGGAATGAAGCATCTGAAGAGAAGCATTTGTTGCAGAAATCAATTGGTGCTCCTTTAAATGCACATTCCAGGAGAATATGAGGTTCCATGTTCACTGCGGATCCTAGCGGTGGACTCAGCAACCTAGACACCCCAGCAGCAGCCTCTTCGCAAACCGAGGACCGGTTCCAATCCAACCCCTCTAGGATTACATATCAAAAGCTTGTGAACTTGCTCTTCTTCACACGGCTTGTCACGCTGCTGCACAGGGAACAAGTCCAAAAAGGACCAGTGCTATTCTGAATGTTTTTCTGGATGACTTTCTTGTTGAAATAGCTGTGTTTCTTGAGGGTGAAAAGGTGTGTGTCCCAAACAATGACTTCTGATTGCTTTTCATAGGCAAGACGATTGAATGACTGAAAGCCAGCAATGGCTACATGTGGAACTATGTTTTCAAATAAGCATGGGACTACCACCCAAGACAGGAGCCCAGCATTGGGCTCTTCTCTATGGATAAGGCTGTCAAGGTAAAGGTAAAGGACCCCTGACCGTTAAGTCCAGTCATGAACGACTCTGGGTTTGCGGCGCTCATCTCACTTTACTGGCCAAGGGAGCCGACATTTGTCCGCAAACAGTTTTTCCGGGTCATGTGGCTAGCATGACTAAGCCTCTTCTGGCAAACCAGAGCAGTGCACGGAAACACTGTTTACCTTCCTGCCAGAGTGGTACCTATTTATCTACTTGCACTTTGACATGCTTTCAAACTGCTAGTTTGGGAGGAGCTGGGACCGAACACCAGGAACTCACGCTGTTGCGGGGATTCAAATCGCCGACCTTCCAATCGGCAAGCCCAAGGCTCAGTGGTTTACACCACAGCGCCACCCGCGTCCCTATGATAAGGTGTAATTTGACTCAAATCATCATGCCAGACATTTCTCCACTAGCAGCAGCCAGAGACGTGTCATGGGGTGCAGAGAAAGACATAGCACCGCATTAGGACATGCAATAACACTGCAAAGGGTGAGAGATTCCCTATGAGGCTGCCCTTTTCAGTGGTTTTTCTGAATTGCGCCCAGCCTTGACATGGTACCAGACATTCCCCACAGATCAAGGAACATGAGGAGCAGGCAGGCTCCCCTGGAATGAGTGTGCAGAGGATTCCATTGAGGAGCCTGCCAAGACAACACCTTCTGAACAACCCTTGGAGCTGTCAGAGTTGGTGGGAGACTCGTTATCTAGTCCTTGAAAACAATGTGGTGTAAAGGTCTCGGTCTGGGCTGAAGACCAATGCCATAACCTAGAGTTGTAGTCAGTGGCTTGTGAGTAAGCAATTCCTGAAACTCTTTCTTTTTTAAAAAAAATAATATTTATTAAAGTTTCAAAAGAAGAAAAATCACATTAATAAAAAGATTAACAATAAAAAGGAAAAATACAAAGTAGAAAAAAGAAAAAACAGTTAAAAACAATTCCATCTTTTCATCACTTCTTTTACATTTACTTGTTTCCCGGACCTCCTCATACCTCCCTCTTTTGTATTCCAATTCAATTTGTTAATCCAACAATTCCTTTCCCTCCTTTTTAATCCTAATCTTTAATCTTGATATATTATAACATTAAATTTTTACATATTAGAAACCAATTTTTCCATATTCTTTTGTACCTGTACAGCTAGAAACCACTTAACTTCAATCCAACATCATTCTAACATTCATTATTTTTGCAATATTTCTGTAAATAGTCTTTAAATTTCTTCCAATCTTCTTCCACCGACTCTTCTCCCTGGTCACGGATTCTGCCAGTCATTTCCGCCAATTCCATATAGTCCATCAATTTCATCTGCCATTCCTCCAGTGTGGGTAAGTCTTGTGTCTTCCAATGCTTTGCAATAAGTATTCTTGCTGCTGTTGTAGCATACATAAAGAAAGTTCTATCCTTCTTTGGCACCAATTGGCCGACTATGCCCAGGAGAAAGGCCTCTGGTTTCTTCAAGAAGGTATATTTAAATACCTTTTTTAGTTCATTATAAATCATCTCCCAGAAAGCCTTAATCCTTGGGCATGTCCACCAAAGGTGAAAAAATGTACCTTCAGGGTTTTTTGGGGTTTTTTTTTTTCTCCCTCATGATCCACTCCTGAGCAACACAGTTCCCTGGCTCATTGTTTTCTAGCACCTGTTACTCCTTGTCTCCACTCCCTGTGATGTTGCCTGACCTTGCCTCTGGATCATGTTTTGTCCCTCGGCTGTTTTTCTGTGCTTGACCTTGGTTTGGCTGGACTGCAGCTGTAAATCTGCCATTGTGAGTGAGTATTTTGGCTCTCATCTTCTGAGACAGAGGCCTTAGCCCCAGAGAGTCCCCACTGGAGTGTGATGCTCCCCTGAGAGGCAGAACTCTAAGCCAGAAGGAGCTGGGCACTCACTAGGTACCTTTAGACAACCCAATGTCTCCCATTCCTCTCACCCAAACTGTGGAGATAATATCCTGACGTAAGGTACAGGGTTGCTGTAAGGATTATAGATATGCTGCAGGTGAAGTGTTTTGAATACTCATTGTAAAGGTTATTAGCATTAACTCAAATCCTAAACACCACAATCGGGCATAATCAGGCAATGAAGACCATGTGGAAAGAGCCACTTAGCAGCCCTGGCCATCTTGTTTCTTGATTCATGCTTGTTCTTCTCAGCTGCAGTGACAAGGAAGTTCATCACTATAAAGAAGACATGGTGGGAGGGTGGGAGACATTTTTTTAAAAACCTCCTGGCTAGATCTGTTGCTTCCCTTGCCACTTGTTCCTCTTAGGGCTTGTCCACACTTGTCCTTTGCCTGGAAAGCATCTTTTTCATGCCATGGGGGCTTCTTTCAGACAATGTTTTATTCTGTTTTCCAGACCCTTTCTTACCTGATAACTTTGCTTTTTATATTATCTTTCACACAACAGAAAACTACTTCTGGGAATCTAATGAAAGTTTAGCACTCATTTCTGTGTTAACTGCCTCCAGGAAAAAAAAATCTGTCGGCAACCCCATTAAGTCAGAGAACTATGGAAGTTTTGCAGTGTAATTTTAATGTGCTTCCATGATGGTGCTATTGCCACTCACTTTGTAAAATCTGGAGCGGCATCCCAGCATGCATTACTTTCCCACCACTTAAAATGTAGTGTGGCATTGGCATCCCAAAATGGAGCAAGCACTGCAGTGTAAAAGAAATGTTACACATAGGGATAGAAGCCCTAGTCTTAAAACCAGTAAAAGGCTGACTTGATATGTTTTCCCATTAAGATCCTCCATCCACAGTGCTGAAAAATCTGCATGGTACTCTCAGAGGAGTTCAGATGAATGCTGTGAAGCTGGTCAGGAATGTTTTGGGCAGTGCCGGATTTACCAATAAGCTATTTACATATAAGCTATAGCTTAGGGCCCCAATCTCTTGGAGGCCCCCCAAAAAATTAAAGGAAAGAAAGAACTGATGTACATTTCCAATATATAAGATAAAAAAACAAATAAAAGAAAGCCTACATACAACAACAGTGTTTTGTGTTGTGTAGGTTCCTATGATGTAAATAATGGGCCGTGTCTGCTACTCCCTAAAATATCACTGGTTTGCTCATTTCTGTATATAGGGTGCCTATATTCTGCATGTGCAAATGGCTTTAGATACATATTAGGTCCATAAATTACCATATAGCATATATTCAAGACAAAAAACCAGCGACAATTTGTTGTTGACAAAGGACAGCTGGGCCTCTAAAGGGCCTCGTTACCTTCAGTAGCTTAGGGCCTCATCAAACGTAAATCTGGCCCTGGTTTTGGGGGTCCCAGGGGTGCCCTCTCAAGGTTCAGGTGATGGGGAGACTGCTATGGCCCCAGCACTCTCCCTCCCCTCCTTGTCTATTTTTCCTGCATGATATGTTCTGTACCATCTACTGATTTCAAACCTCCCTCCCTTAGGGAAGAATATATTCTCTGCACTGGAATCCTAAATTCCCAAGTAAATCCATTGTGGGTATAACTTTTCATCAGAGCAGATATAAAAAAGTGGGAAAGAGTCAATTTTCCCCATCCTGTCAACATGTTCTTAATTTCTCATGATTAAGCACAGCATATGCAGGAAAATTTTGCACTTGTGTGATTTACACATTTTAGAATGTAAAAGGATTATGGGACTGTGACGATGCTATTTTTGTAAATGTCTTGCTTTATCTCTGCATGCTTTTCTATTCTTCAAATATATTTTTTCTTTGTCAGCTCAGAAGAAGCCCCGTCATATCCTGGAGGTTTGATGGTCATGATCTGTGTTAATTTGTTTACTCTCTCTTGTCTCCGAGATTCCAAATTTATCCTGCTAATAGGTACATTGACACCGCCAGCAAGTTTGCTCTGAATGCCCTCAGAGTGAGATGTAGTCAGAAATGAATCACGGTTTGAGGATTGTCACAGATACCCAATAGGACCTGCTTTTCACAAATTATCCATTCCCCTAAATCTCAGCAAATCAGATCAGATACCTAGTGTTGAAACTGATGGCTAGTATCTGATTCAAAGTAGATTTCCTCCTAAGTTGTCCCTGTCACATCCATTTACATCGCATTATGTCATGTCACATCAGTACACAAGATGTCATGCAAGCTGCATAACCCACAATGGAGAAAATACAAAGATAACAGGTGATCTGGCTGAAAGTATCTGCTGTTATGGCCAGACCAAAAATATCTGCGGAATTGCCTGCATTAATTTTGAGACACTTTCACTAGCTAGATTTTTGGGGGTGGGGTGGGTGTTGAGACTTTGGCATTTGCAGTGGGATTGATGCTGCTCAGTGAGAGGTGAAAGTTTCCTCTTCTTTCTCTGAGAACCCCATTGAAATGGAAGGCTGAAAAATAATGTATGAGTTAAATCTATATTGTAACGAGATTTGTGACCACATGGTGTATTATTGACCACCAACTTGGTTGGGTTTAAAAGTTGTTTAGACAAATTCATGGAGGATAAGGCTACCTGTGTCTTTAGGCCACAGTGGGTATGTCCTGCCTCCAGGACCAGAGACGGTCTGTCTCCGAAAGCCATTTTCTGGGAAGCACAAATGAAAAGAGAGTGTTGTCACATTCGTCTCCTGCTTTCAGGCTTCCACAGGCTTGGGTGCTGAGAACAGGATTCTGGACTAATGGGCCTTTGGTTGGGCAGGGAGAACTAGGAAAGGTTAGTGTCATGCTTAGCTGGCTAATGCACCAATGCTCTTCTGTGGACCTGATCATGGTTCAGGTTTAACCCAGTGAGACAGGGCTAACCAGTATTAAAGACTAGAAACTAAAGAGTGTGACTGAAGCAAATGAACATGTTTATTAATGTGCAATCCTTCATCCAAAGCATGCTATTCTCTTCATATGGAATGTTAAACAGGGCCAAAGGACAAATCATTTTAGACTCTTTTCAGTATTCCTTTAAATAAATGTTTAAGGCTTGATTGATGCTAGAATTGCATTGCAAATATTTAAGTCTTATTATAACGTTCAAACTATATTTTTAGAGCAGTGCAAATAATAATCCATGTTTAGATTAATTCATAAAGTGAGGCTTTTGATCTCTGGCTGGCCTCACCCAGCCTGACCTTCACACTTTCAAATTCCCATCTACCCAGCAGTCTACAAATATATACCCCAATGTTTTGTATGCAGTTCTGTATGGTGCAGTTCAAATCCCCTGCCCTACGATTTTTATTCTCCACCATTCACATGTTCATTTGTACACCAGTTATGCATCTGCACACGGCTTGTAATTTTTTGTATATTTTCTTATTCAGGCAACACACTATGGTAAAGAGGAAGACTTCTACTAGAAGCTACCGAGCCATGGAATGAGTGAAGCTAACAACTTGTTGACATCACATCCTATTTATTCAATGCAAACAGCATTGTTCAGGTCTAGCCCGTGCTAATTCAGCTTCCATTACTGAATCCTTAACTCTTGGATGAAGTAATGATAACACTGGGCAACATTTTTTTACTTTTTGAATGTTGTCTAGATTTCTACAACTGATTTAGGCTATTTTTGCACTTCTGAATCAGGAAATGGCATCCGTTTCTCTCCATCAGGTCAGATTTACTGTAAACTGAATGGTGGGCATTGATAAAGGTAAGTACACGTAAATTGCAAGTTGCTTCACCATTTTAAAAACTTCAGGGCTTGAACTTCCATTTCTTGGAACTCCTGGAATGCTCAGCGGCAGGGAGGTCTCTCTTCAGAGTCCAACAGTAGTCAGCCATCATGACTGCGTCCCAGCGACCCTGATACCTGGTCTCCATCTCTTTCATGTCCTGATGGACTCTCTCCCCCTGCTCATCACTCATTGAACCCAGGTTCTCAGGAAACCGCTCCAGATGTGAAAATAGGTAGTGCATCTTGACGCTCATGTTGCAGCCCAGGTTTCTGAAAGCAGTCAGCATGTTGTTGACAAGTTCTGCGTAGTTTCTGGCCTTATTGTTGCCCAGAAAGCTCTTCACTACCAGAACAAATGCCTTCCACGCTTCCAGTTCCACTTCGTTCATTGAGTTTCCAAACTCTGGATCTCTGATGAGCTGACGGATCTGAGGACCGTCAAAGATGCCAGCTTTCAACTTCTCCATGGTCAATCCTGGAAAAGCCTGGCACAAGTAAGTGAAGCAGTCACCATCCTTGTCCAGAGCCTTGGTAAACTG